TAAAAAAATAAAATCTTTCAGCTCCAAAGAACATACGTTTAGAATTGAAGTAGCATCCGTTTCAATTGGAAATATACTTTTTCTGTTTGGAAATGCCTAAATCTGCTCTGTTACCTGTCTACCTTAATCTAATTATTGGGTAACTTCATGTATTGTTTAACAATAGCAACCATTACAGTGGGCTATACCTGGTAATTTGTTCTATAAAATATTATTATAAAATACAAAAAAACTCAAGTCTAATAAAGGTTTAAACATCTCTATCTAGTGCTTGAATCAGTCACATGGTCTGGTCGAGTTATAAACGTATCAGTATGGATGTCGTCAACGATGTATTTGCCGTAACTATACGATCTCGCCTCGCCACGTATTATATGACACTAACGTAATTTATTAGTATAAACAGCCTACTACTAGCCAACGTTAATTTATCATCGTGTCGGAAAAAAAGTTACTTTTAGGTTAGCCGACAGGTAGAATTATTACCCCTAAAAAGTTGAAAACTATTGTATATGGATGGTGCTTAGCGGGGCTAGTGATGCCAGTTTTGGAAAGAAGGCCCTGCCCAGAGGGTATCAATCTGGTCACAGGCAGTCTAGTCCAGGTGTTAAACTCATGCCATGTTGCCGTACCACCATGTAGCCTTCGGGTCGATGCAGCCTTGCTACCTTTAAATCGGTAAATATTATTTATCTTTTCACATTTGCATGTTGGTTTACGTACGCAAAAAAACATATGTTCATAAGACCATAATACCTGAAAAGTATTATTGGTTGTTGTTAGTTCGCTAGGAAATTCTATAGATAAAAGCAAATAATAATAGTAGCTTTTCAATTAAGCGATCATTCTTCACTATGACGATTGATACGATAAATGAAGTTAACAACAAATTCACCGAACTTCAAGCTAAAAAAATCCGATATCAAAACGACATTGGCCTTCGACACGCTTTCTTATAACACAGATTCCATATTTATGTAATTTTAGTAATCAATTCTATTGCTAATGTGCAGCAATTGGTAATGATTAGGTCGTGTTTATCAGTTAGAGTATATCACAGAAGATCAACTAACATTAAATTTAGACTTGTATTGGTGTATTTCATCTTAAGGACCAAAATCATGGGTGGCCTATATAGGACTAGTCCATATAAGCCTACACTCCACAAGATTGAAGCCTAAGAAGCCTTCAAGACAGATGATCGGTCACGGCAGAACTTCATTTTACTGGCCTGAATTGGTTCGAATTCTACGAAGCCTTCCATTACGAGGATCAGTGTTCGAGAAAAAAAAACGCCCCAACTAATGCAGCTACGGACACCGTCCTAACTTAATCGGCAGCCTTCCAATAACCTTAAAAGAAAACAAACCTGTATATTTCAGCTGCTTCACAAAGTAAAAGTATCGATTGTTACACGCTTTGCAGTGTAACTCATTTCATGCTTATCGTTGTGATGTTGACTATCTTTTGGAGATTCACATTGCTGGTCTGAAGACAGCAGTGTACTCGCATTAACATTATCATTATCTAGGTCGATGTTGTTGAAGCTTTTCAGGACATGAATTCTTTGATTTTTAGCCACTGGTACCATTTAGCTGTCGAAAAAGTCCTAGTAACGAACGGCTATAGCTGTTTACGGCCACGTCGTTGAAGACCAGCATTTTCTTAGCTTCATAGTATAAAACGTAAACACCACGAACGAAGAAAATAGAACTGCGGCGTTGGCTACGTTCGTCAACGAGAGGGTCAAGAGTCCACCGACGATTTATAAAGAGAAAGGCATAAAGTAGAAACTACTTCGAGCTTTACCAAATCAGACGCTTCCTAGGATCGCATGTCGATCGTAAAACATAACAGACGGCTTATTGTCATAGAACACACCTTTAATTTTACTAAATGGGAAGTGTATGATAATTTCGTGTATGGAAAAATAAATTTGCACCGGCAGAGTTAGGATGGCCTTTATATTACGGCTCCAATACATGACAATCCCGTCTATATGTACTACAGTAGCTTCTGTACAACAAATACCTGTGCCCGACGACTTGTGAACTTTAGCGAAATGTGTGTAGTTTATAATTCAACTCTCCAGGGTACTTGCATTTTTAGTTACTCACAAAAAGCTTCTGAAGTAGGATTGACAGCCTGTAGTTTTTATCGTGACGTTTCAGCACGAACGCAATCTATTATATTACATTACGTTATATTATTAGTGAGAAAGCTCAGTTAATTTAAATGCACCTTTTTTGCACTGCATTTTTGAGCACCAAGCGTAAACGAATCTTTCTTTATAAAAACAATTCTCGAAAACGACAGTACTCTTCAGCCACTAGCATAGCATTGCAATCCGAGTGTTATCTTTATTATAAAGACCTTGCCCTTATTGTCGTGTTTCTCTTCAGGCTATAAAGGACTAATTTCAAGTTTGACCTTATGGTTGCGCATGAATCAGTTTACGATCCGCTTATGATGATAGTACGCATTTCTGTAAAGAAAACACTGAAACCTTGCTGTTTCTAGTAATCTAAACAAGATCCATAATGCGCAGTTGATATTCAAAATTTAGGAACATTAACGAAAACCCTAATCGGCAATAGAACACACAGAACATTGTATCGATATAATCGGATACAAAATTCTACCTATCTCTACAAATAAACAAGGCCTTGTTATGTATGAGTATTAAATTAAAAACGGCAATGAGTGATGTGACCATTCCTCAAATTGGAACATAATTGTATGGCAGCTCCGCTAAATTGTCGGCGTCTGATCTTTTCAGCAGCCTTAGCTATATGGAGAGAGTTTACAGCTTTAGAACACGTCTAGAATATTCTATTTATCATAGCAGATGGCCGCTAAATTCAAATAACTGATGTCACTTCGTAATTGAGAGATACAATTGTACAATAGGGCTGTCATTTAATACGGTCGAACGAAATTTGCTTTCGATAACTGTATTCAACGCACGTGAATCATGCCATTGGACTGATCGGAGAGAAGCGTTTCTGCCTTGTTGCCCGTTGAATTAAAAAAAACGATGGATTTTTATTGATGAAAATGATGATAATAGTAATGATTAATTTAATAAGAGAGAGCGATACAGCTTTACGCATAAAAGTAATATAATTTTTCTATGAATGACCACAGCCAAGGATAATAATAGATTAAAATAATCACAAAACGACAATAATTGTATTTAAAAAGAGTACGGTATTTTAAATGATTCATACAGCTCGTGTTCGTAAGTATAATAGTA